AAAGAAAGAAAGAAAGAAAAAGAAAGAAAGAAAGAAAGAAAGAAAGAAAGAGAGAGAGAACGAGAGAGAGAAAGAAAGAAAGAAACGGTCAGGTAGGAGAAGAAAAATAGACTTTCTGTGACTGTATGCTCTTGAAATCTCCCGCAGGTTCTAAGCAGGGCAAAATGGGGTCTCGAAAGTGTGGAAGCTGCCTAAGTTGTCTGCTGATTCCGCTGGCACTTTGGAGTATAATTGTGAACATATTACTGTATTTCCCAAATGGGCAAACTTCCTATGCATCCAGCAATAAACTCACCAACTACGTGTGGTATTTTGAAGGAATCTGTTTCTCAGGCGTCATGGTAAGTGTGACTTTGGAGACTTGGGAGAGAAGGGGGAGTTGTTGTTGAGACTTACCTTGAACCTAGTAAAAATAATGAATACTGGAAAAATCATTCTGCTAATCTTGGGTGTAGGATTTGAAAGATGGAGGGGGAAGGGGCAGGTGATCTGCTAGGATTTGGGACATAGCTTTGTTTTCAATAAGCTGCTCAACAATGCAGCTTTGGTAATGCCAGAAGTCAGTCCTAATGAAAGTTTGTGGGACACTGACTTGTAAAAATAATATGTTCTCATGAACCCTGCATATCGACTTAAGCTATTCGATCTTCAGTGGCATCACTGTTTTCTAGAATAGATTTTCTGTCTGTGCTCATGTTTTTCTAGCTTGAAGGGGCGTTAGGATAGCATGAAAAAAAGCAGAGACTTGGATATTCAGACAAACCTGCATGTAAATCTATGCTCTGTCATTTGTGCCATGAGACCTTTGGCAACTTACTCAGTATCTTTGAGTCTTAGTGTTCTAATGTGAAAAATGTGAATAATGGCATTTACTTTTCAAGATAAAATATATATATATAGATAAAGTACCCAGGAGAGAGACTGACATGCAGTAGATAGCCAGTGACTGTTGTAATTATATTATTATTAAAAAATGAGCTGTGTCATCATTAAATAGTCCCACATTGAGACCCTCATAATGGAGGGAGTGTTTGAAAAGTAAATTGAATTATCAACAGTAACCCATGAACACTTTCCTGATGACTTTGTGCTCTTTAAAAATAAACAAACTGATAGTAAATCATGTTGGCAACTCAGAGGAAAAGACACTTTTCCTGGTCAAGTCATTTCTAAAAATAACACATTATGGACTGTAAACGTATCAGACCACCAATAGTATAGAAGAGATGTAGAAATAATCTATTTCTACATCTTTGTGGGGTGTTTAATTATTATATTTAATAGCTATGTTGTAAAGCAGTTTTCATTTAGTTATTCATTTTGCACATTAAATTAATAAACTTTAAGATGTTAATATCCAATGTTAGTGAAGTTGCTATGAAATAAGCACGCAACTAATGTTGGCTGAACCACCAAGTAATGTCAGTCTTTTGGGTAAGAGTTTGGTATGATATACCAAAATCTATGAAAATGCTTCTGTCCTTTGACTCAGTAATCCTACCTCTCATCATTTATTCTGAAGAAATCACCCAAAACAAGGAAACAGCTATGTGTACAGATGTTTGTGGCTGCATTGGTATGATAGTAAATAACCAGAAGTATCTTACAGAGAAGTAACTAAATAAATTACAGTACATTCACTTCATGCAATGGTGAAAATTATAATTATGAAGATGTAACAACATGGAAAATGCACATTATTTCATATTAAGTGAAAAAAGACACAACAAAGTTGTGGGTAAATTACAATTGCAG